CACACACACACACACACACACACACACATACACACACACACACACACACACACACTTTGTAAATATGATACTATACAAATAAGATTTGATTGATGATTGACTGAAGAACATGTTGGACTTGACTTCACATAAAACTAGATAAACGACATAAACCAGAGAAAAGGAAAGAGTGTGTGTTAAATCTGTATATTCACAAACAACATGCAGACTACAACAGACGATGCTCTCTGACCTCCACGTTCATTGCTCTGAAGATACTTGGTGCTTCTGTGTTGGTTCAGATTGTACCGGGTTGTGATTGAGGGTTATACACATACAGTGAGAGACGCGTAACAATTCCGTCTTCGTGTATCTCAAACTGTGGTCACTGACCACGATTTCGGTTTTGGTTCGAGAATCATACAGCCTTAATCTTCAGTGATTTCAGAGAATGAGAACCGGACAGATAACGTGACATCACGTCCTGCTGTGACTTAATTTCCTGTAGACTCACCTGGTGCAGGCTTTACTCTCCTCCGTGGGACAAACTCCCATATGAACACAGCGGAGGTGATCCATCTTCTGAGGACCAGGACTCCTGAGGAGAGAGAGAGACAGACACACAAACGGATCAGACTGATAACATTCATCAATATAAAATAAATCCTGACAGGAAGCAAGAGGATCATGATCACCACCTGATCAATATCCAGAATTATATCCAGATACAGACTCTGACATAAAGACCTGGACTCGGAGACGAGGACTCAGAGACTCAGATTTGCGTTACCTGGTGAACACCTCCAGAGGAGCCGTGCCTCCTCCCCCGGGCAGAGACGAAGCTTTTCCAAACTGCAGTCTGAGCGGGTGTTTTGCCTGCAGCCTCACGATGACGCCGTCGTTCACCGGCAGCCAGTCCATCCCGGGCACCAGCAGCTGACTGGGCAGCAGGCAGCACTCGTCTATCAACGTCTCGTCAGGGTCCTGGGGGGGGCCGTCGTCCCGAGCTGAGACAGAAATCAGAGCTGTTGATCAGCTGATTTAATATTTAATAAACAAATCCTTAAACAATAATTCAGTTTTTATTAAACAGGCGACCGCATCATCTGCAGACATCACACGTCTGTCTCATGACGACACTGGTCACATGGTCACAGAGTGAATGTGATTGGCTGACTAACATCATGGGACAGATCAAACACATTATTCTGTATAATAATGAGGTAAGTTCCTCAGCTGCCAATCACTGCTGCGGATCAGACACAGTCCAGGTCCTGACGGATCAGACCAGGTCCGAGCTGCGAGGAATGGGTTCTGATGGTGAGGTTCTTACAGCAGAGCCATAGCTTGGTGAGCAGTCGGAACAGCAGCTGCATGCTGTCCTGGTTGTCAGACGTGGCGGTGAATGTGGGCAGACACCCGGGTTTCAAAAGACCCCAGATCCTGATCATCACCAACATCTCCCTCAGCATCCCCAGAGACACCCCGTCCCTCATGAAGCCGAACCCGGGCCGGACAATGGAGCCCTGCAGGACACAGAACCAGCGGGTTCAGAGTTCAATTCCGAAGTGAACAGTGTGTGCGGGGGGTGGATGTTGCTCACTTGGTTGGGTAGGTTGGCGAGCAGGTAGAGGACGAAGTCTCCCACCCACTGGATGAGCTGCTGCAGCGACTGAAGGGGGGGGCCGTCCAACACAAACTCCTCCGTTTTCAGGTTGATCATCACCTTATCAATATCTGAGGAAACAGATCAATAATCACCAGGAGCCTCATTTATAACCCATCTTTCTGACGGACGCCACTTCTCATGCAATCGTTGGGATTTCTGAAAACAGACATCGTTCGCTAACTCTGCACGATGCGTATGAACATTTTGGAGACGGGAAAATGACGATGCAGACGTGAGGAAGTGATCTGAAGCAGATTGATGATCCACTTCATCATTACAATAAACCAACTGTGTTATTTGTGTTCGTGCAACAGAACTATTTCATAAGAACCTTCAGCTGTTAAAGATATAAAACAACTTAAAGCAACTTACGGTAAAATAGTAAAAATATCAGTTACAGGACCGAGTGATTAATAGTTTTTAATAATATCTTCTATATCATTGTGCCTGTATCACCAAGTACGACTGTAGTCTTCATAGTTTTCAACGTCCATTTCCAAATGATGTCCCAATGTGGAGGTTAAGATCTTACTTATGTTTTATATTTATCTATTTGGTTTCAAATTACAGGGACAATTATCATTATTAAACAATTGTGTAAATGAGACAGTTAAGACATGAGCAGGTGTGAGGACAAATAAAAGAGATGAGACACACACACACTTCATAAGAGAAGAGTGAAGGTCTCCCAAGCTCCTCGCCTGCAACATGAACACAAGGTGTGGGATTATCTGTTGACCTCTTAGGAAAAGACATACAAACTGTTTTCTTTACATTTAGGTGGAGACAGGAACTGGTCAGCCACTGTGTGACATCACTCTGTCAGCTCACATGCAGCTTGCTGTTTGGTTGTTGCAAACAGCAAGCTGCATGTGCAGGTAGAGGATGAAGTGTCCCACCCACTGGATGAGCTGCTGCAGCGACTGAAGGGGGGGGCCTTCACCCATGGCACCGACAACTCCTTCATCTCACGTAGATTTGGAAATGCCCAGTAGGAAACCGTGAGCTGTTTTGGTTGATTGGTTAGATCTAAAACCAAACTGCATGGGGTACAGCCACAAAGGGCTGTTGTTAAGATGGCTACTAATGTTCTACTACATATCTTTCAACCGGATTGTTGTAAACATAAATGCTGCAGTGATGCTGCGTGACGGCTGCAGTGATAGAACGATTAGTGGAGTTTTAGTATGAATCCTATGAACTGTTTTGTAAATGAGGAAACACAGATCAATAATCACCAGGGTCGGTGTTCTTGGCACAGATTTCCGTCAGGCGGTCTCCGGGGCTCTTGTCTGGCGTGTTGAGGACGTGCGGTCGCAGCAGAGACTTCAGTGTCGAGCTGATCGCCATCAGCAGCAGTTTGGCGTGGAAGTCACAGGCTCGAGCTGCCGTCGCCGTGGAGAGTTTACAGAGCGACGCCTTCACTGCCACAATACGAGTCGCCAAAACCTGAAACACACAGGAGCACCGAGGCATTGTGGGAAATGTAGTTTACTGCTGCTGTTTCTGAGAATGAGCAGGAATCTTAAAAAGAGAGTTTCCACAGTAACGTGATGTCGGGAAACGTTAGATGATGTCACATGATTTCAGAGGAGCCTGTTTTAACATGTTTTAAATATGTTAAAACATTTTAAATATTTGATGTCAACGTGTTAAAACTGATGAAAAAGTCAAATCTCTGATCTTAATTAAATGAACAATGTTTTATTAAAGGACAGACGCTGCTCGTGCTCCCA